GTCTCTTTTATGTAAGTCTTACTACTGTAATTTCCGACACGGACCCTCTCTCTCTTTTCGTTTTTTGACACAAACCATTCCGCTCATATTACAGACACAATTATTAACGTATCACCATGTTCGTGGATTCATGCTTAAAGAATCGAGGTTTCTGCCCCGAAATAACATGGACTACATGGAGAATGGTTTTTGCCTTTTGGAGCGACATGAGGGATTACGCCTTCTACCGTTGGTTATCATGTAACTTTGCGCTTTAATTGTTTAAGACTCTTTTTGTATACCGTTTATATTGTTGATTTTAGTATTATTTGCGCTGATGATGGCCAAAAAAAAGGCCGAAACGTCTGCCTTTCGCGAATCATGTAATCAAAGAAATTCTCTAATTTTTTGGTTTAAACTATATATGTTTGCGCCCTAAAAACTGCGCGTGGCTCTTTTGCCATTTTACTCGGATTCTTGATTTTAATCGTTTAAGAGCCTTACTTTTATATCTTTTTAAATTTATTATATTTCGAAGTGTAATACTCTGTATTTCTTTTGGTTGTATAATTGTGCTTTGTCCGGAAAACTTCTTATTTTTTAAGCGAGCGAGTCTGAAGTCTAATTATTAAAGATAATAGCCAATATAAACAACATCTTATAAGCGAATCACTATATATATCTATATTTTCGCATATGTACAATTCTACTTACCATTACGTACGCTTTGGTCGTCTTCCTTTAAGATCGAACGTGATTAAACTGGCTCAACTGTTGAACGTCGAATGAGTCGTGTGATGTTATGCTGCGCCACATGGTTTCTGATTTTCTCGGTACGCATGCGTATTGATCAATTAAAGTGGTAGATCGCGAAAAAGCCGGCGATAAGCCGGCTGTAAACACGAGAAGCACTGAACACTTCTTATTTTCAATTTCGTATAATACAATTTTATAACATATATATGATAATACAAATATTACGTAAAATAAAATAATTTTTTTCAACTTTTTAATAATGCATAAAATTTAATTCATATTAAAAACATTCAAAAAATATATTGCACGTGCATATGTTAAGTTATAATTTCTTTTTTCACAGGTAATTTTTTAAAGCGAAAATTTCAATGAATATTATTTTCTTATTTCTTTTCATTCCTTTATTAGGAATATCTTTATTATTTAATTTTTAAATATAAATTACGATAAAATCAAGTATGCAGTAAACAGAAATTGCGTTTACTTTTTTATTTATATTTTTTGTTTACAGTAAAAATTATTGTTAATATAGGAACTGCATTTTTGAAATACATTCCATTTTCAAACAAATTTAGATACTTCTTGACAACACATACACACAAACATATACACATACACATTTAATAAAGAAAAATTATATGTAATAATATATAATTTTATTAATTTATATACTGTGCAATATTAAAGAATACTCTATATAAAATTTTTCCAAAATTGTATATTTGCACGAAAAAGGCATTAAAAATATTTATATTACAATTTATAAAAAAATTTATAAAAATTTTTGGAAATATCAAAATAAAAACATAAAATATGTAAACAAAATATGAAACTTATTATATATTTCATATCAATATTCAATATTATAGCATAAATTATACAAAATAAAATATTAAAGCTGTAAAATATAAAACAAGGATATAAAAGAATGTAAAAGTTTTGATATATTTCAGATCCTATTTCTTTTTCTAATGTTAAGTGATTTTATTGTACAAGAAATACAAGCAAAGTTTATATAAAATAAGAAACTTACCACTTTTATGTATCCATAAATTATATCTCTCATTTGTCTGTAGCGGAAATCTGTATAAACGTTTTCCATTAGATTTTTCATTCGTACAGTCTTTATATGCGCACTTATCGAAGAAACGATATACACGATCCTGATTTGACATTGTTTTTAAGTATATTATTTTCTTTATATACTATTACAGTCTAAAAGTCACAATAAAATAAAACTTTAGTCACAATAAAAGAACTTTTCACCCACACAAACTAAATGTGAAACACTTTGCACGAATCTATAAAGAATTCTTCACTGATTAAATCGCGTATAAAATCCTTTACACTACCCAATAACAGCGAAAACAAAAGCAACAAATGTTGCGTATACTTATCTCGCGAGTTTGCTATAAACGAGAAGACACTCGCTTACCGCAACCGAACGTATACTGCTTGGAAATTGATAGTCCTTCCTCTTCTCTACCGCTAACAAAAGAAAAACGCTAAGTACATGAGGTATTACTCTTCCATTTCGTCAAATTTTTATAGCTAGATCGGGAATCGATAAAAAAGTTGATTTGTTTGCTACGTTTGTCAGACACTTAATATTTTAAGAGACATTTAATTATAAAAATTGGTCAATAAATATATGTTCGAAAATGGAAGATTTGAATCTCACTGGTGATAAACGTTTTTTACTTTTTTAATTTTTTGTTTAATTTTTTGATTTATTTATATTTCAAATAAATATAATCAATAATATTTAGATATCCATAATATCTATAAAACTTTTATTTTGTATTTTAACGGTTTAAAACTAATTGTAATAAATTAATGAGATTTCTGCGATTAAAATGACACCACACGCGACATAAATTGGATAATTTTTCACTAAATAAATAATCAGAATTTTGATAACATGTAAAAATTATCCAATTTACGTCATGTTTGGTGTCATTTTAATCGTAAAAATCTCATTAATCCATTAAAATTATTTTCAAACCGCTAAGTTGCAAAATACAAAACTTTTATTGTCGTGTATTTCGTGATTTACATTTTTTATTGTTGCGTACGAGAACCTATATATATTATGTATTAATTAATCATAATAGAATAGCATGTCCTAAGGTTAATAACCTATATAACCTTAAAATTATTGAGATCGCAAAAGTAAAAATTATATTTATCTATGATATATGTTCGTATATTTTTTATGTGGATATTTTTTGCTTTCTCTAATTTTCTATTTTGCTGTAGATATGAACTTTAAAATATTTGATAAAAATATTTATGTATATTATCAGTATGTATATTTTTATGTAAATTTGAATTTTAACTCCTATTTTATTTTGACAGACATTTAACAAAGGAAAACAATAATGGACAAAATTCAATAAATTATTAGTGGTAATAAAAGCGGCGCGTAAAGCTGAACCATTTTTATATATTTCTCTAATATAAAAAAAAATATATTTTTATTTCGTGAACATGTTAAGTGCAATAATATGTTATGTGCAATGTTATGTTATTTATAACGTTAACATAAGTACAAATAAAGACATTTAATTACAATGTATCGTCAATAATTACACATTTATATACCCAAAAATAAATATATATACATCATTGCAAATTCATTACATTGCAATATTGCTATAATATTTTGTTGCAATATTCCTAAAAGCGGACATTTTATCATTGCTGCAATTCCACAGCAATGATGCAGCAACATTTTGCAGTGAATTTGCAAAGTTGCAATATTGCGGTGAAAGATTGCTACAATATGTATGCAATCTTTGTGTGCTGTATGGGTAATTAATAATAGAATAATAATTCGGCACTTAAAGTTTAACACTAGGATTACAATGCTTTTGTTCATAATGCCATTATGAACAAAAGCATTGTAATCCTAGTGTTAAACTTTAACGGTTCCGGCATAAATTAACAGTTACGGCCTGCATAAACCAGCCTTTAACGCTACAAATGTTGCACTATACTCAATTAGCGTTATCGATTTTGGTTGGACAGTGCTATTGTGCATAGCCTCCAAATTGTATTTAATTGCTAACAGTCGCATTCGCTAATTATTTTAAATGATTTGTATAATGGAAAATATTGAAGATATCATAGCGCTACAGCAGCAGTGTCTCGCCGGAACGCTCCCTTGTAGCGCTACAGTAGCGTTACTGTAGCGGTGTCTTACCAAAACGCACTCATTGTCTATGGCTTATGCTCTAGTACTTTCTACAATATTTTCCATGAGACTCGCCATCTATGTATCACGTGATACACGACAGTGCGTGTACTGTGCCGCTGACAATGAACCGCAGCGGTGACTGTGATAAGTGATTCGCGTAAACGCATTCTTAGATCGCTCGATCCGAATATATAGTGGCAGTGGAGAAAGATAGCACATCGGCCGCTGATAGAAGGAGCATCTCTTGATGATTCGCGCTTTACGTGAGCCTCAGGCAAGCCGGAGTAGCTCGCAATTATGTTCGATGTACCACAGAAGTTCTATGAGCTGTGTCGCCTTTGTTTATCCCCGGACGGTGTCAAATGTTCCATATTCGAGGAGGAGGGCATTCAGCGAAGTTTCGCCGAAAAGATATTAGCGTGCTTGTCAATCACGGTAAGTGTCACAATTGACAATTGTTAAACTTTTCTTGGGGCGGAAGGGAGAAGGGAGAGACTCGTCATTCGTGATGCGTCTCTCTGTCTGCGTCTTTTCCATCGTCGCTGTGCTCGCTCTTTCTCTCTCACACACTCTCGTGCACTCTACTGTGAGTCTACTCCTTTCTATTTCTCTTTAGCCCGCACGTTTTCGCGCTCGCGATCCCACTCACACCCGTGATCACGTCAATGCGGATACGCGTGCAGATGTGTATGAGTGCACGGTTCATACGTGCGTGCGCGTGCCACGGGAGAAAGTTTGGCAAGAGATGTATTCGCGAGATAAGCCGACAAGCGGAGAGCAACGGTATTTAAAATGGCAGTGATAAGCCCTGCGCGCGAATGAGAAGTGGAACTCGCGTCGGAGTCGTTGAGAGGGGGAGACAGTGGCACCTTATTTGGGTGTCCTGTTATCATGTTTCACACGCGAATTTCGTTGTCACATCGCTGTATGTATCCGTGCTACTCATCTTTAACATCTTAACATCTTTCTCATTTATTAGAGATATCAATTCATCAAGGCAAATTAGAAGAAGCACATGGCACAAAAGTTTTATTGTGTATATATATACACACACACACACACACACACACACACACACACACACACACACACAATATAGAATGTGTATTTGAAGATAATTTAATTATTTAAATATGTATAAAAAAAGACTATTTACAACATTGTGTATTTAAGGAAAAAGGATATTAGTTAATTAAGTCAATTTAGAAATCGAATTTTTGTTTCTTTTTCTTTGTTTTTCTATATGATGCGTGCAAAAATATTGGAAAGATATTACATTTTAAACATGAAACTAATTTAATACATATGGAACCATTATCAACAATCATTTCATTTGAATCGACGGTATTTTCATTTAAATTGTACAACTGACTATTTTCATTAATTAGCGTATTTTCATTGTTTGTCTGACTTGTAGAGGTTTCAGCTTCAGGCATAGAGAAAGGATTTAAAATAAAAACAATATCAGGAAATATGTAAATAGCAGAATTTAATTGAAAAAATATATAACTATATAATGTAAATATTTATTAATGGATATGAACAATATTAATTTAGAATCTGTACATACAATATGTTCTTGTTACAAATTTGAAAATGATAATATCAATACATAATTTAAATAATTTATATACATTTAAAAATAAAATAAAAAAAAAACATTTAAAGCAACAATATTTAACATAAA